GGGGGGACAGTGGGGTAAGAGCTTCCCTCTTCACGTATCCTGTTCCCTGCTTCCCGTACATTTATCACCTGACTTATGCCATTTTCTGTCCTGCTTCCCTTCCTTGTAAATTAGGAGACTCAAAATACATCCCAGTCAATTAGCTCCGCAATGAAAAATGTCATAACCTTTGACATAACTAATGTGAAAGGGTTCCTAATTTTACCAGAAGTAAGCCTCAATTTTTTAGCCCAACTGCAAATCTTCAATTGCTTGTTGGCTCAGAACTCTCAAAAGATGCTAAATGCAAATCAAATAACATTTTCAGTTCTTGTTTTTGAAAGTATTTTAATCTTAAAAATGAAAAAAAATCGTATTTTGCATTTCTTTACATTAACCCAGCTCAGAGTGCATGAAAGCCACTATTCATTTGCTGAGTGTACTAAATATTAAAAATTAATATATATAAGAATCAACTGCTATGTATCTCAAAAAAGAAAGTAACACACCTAAATTCCTTTTCTCATTCATGTTTCCAGAAGTAAAGAATTTCTGATCACCTAACCCTGCTTGCTGCATGGCAACAGATCCTTGTGGTTTAGCCATAGATTGTGTCTGAGGTGTATAGACTGACTGGCTTCCACCCGAATTGGAAGGGCAAGGATTTTCTGCATAGGAAGTAAACACATCACTCCCACTATCGCTAAACTGATTGTTACTGGATGTGCCTTGATCTGTGTAAAATCCAAATCTATGTGAACCAGCTTCCGAAATATAGGGATCACCGTAGGGCAGATCATAACTGAAGGAGTCCTGTACACTGGAAAATGGCTTGGAACCATATGCACTGTAAAGTCCTTTGCTACCATAAACATCTGATACATTCTTTGGCACATGTGGTGGATAGTTATACCCATTTGGGTTCAAATTGGAATTGCTCTTCACTTTCTTGTCCACTTTCATATTTTGAGGTCCATTAACTGCTCTGTTGTCCAGAGAAAAATTATCACTGGAAGACCCTGGAAGAGCCCTGAAATGTCCGTAAGATGGAGGGTGTCTGTAGTTTAATTCCTCAAGGTCATAAAAGGAGCTATAGTCATTAGCCATGTTTCCTCTATGGGCATAGAAACTTTGCCCATCAAAAGTGGACATGGTATCTACAGGCTCTCTGTAGGGTGGTGGATGCCGATACTTATCCAAGGGGCTTGGCATAGTTTGCTCCACTTGTTCAGGATAAGGTGGTGGGTGTCGGTAACCAATTTTCTTCACCTCTGTGGGTGTCGGTTCTGTGGCACAACCCTGACAAGACTCATTCAATCGAAGCCTTTGAACTGCCTCTAGAATATCAGTCATATTATTGTGTCTGCTATTTTCATAGCTGGACTGCGAGACCCTATCACCAGCATCTGCCTCAAGATACTGATGTGCGCCATGTGTGCTGTTTGGATTACTGTCATGAGTAACCATTAAAATCCCGGCATTTTCAGTGTTAGGACAGTCCACAATGTACGTCTCAGAAATTTCTGCCTCGGAAAGTACTGCTTGAATGCAAGGTGTAGATGTACATCTCTTCAAACGTTCTAAGAAAATAATGACAATAAAATTGATCAAGTAATTATATTACTATCAAAGACAATCAGAGATTGCAGCATTTTTTGAAAATTGATTGCCACACTCAAATTGAACTTTTCAGTGCCTTAAAAACTGATAATTGTTGAACTTACATGGACTGCTCCACAATTCATACAGTATCAATTCTTATCATATGACAATATTAAACATAACATTAATTGTAATTAACAAGCGATGAAGTTTCTCGCATAATATCTGTGTAGGTTAATAATATCAAACACTTGTGTCAGTAAAACGTTTTTTACCATATAATTATCTTATGGAGGGGGAAGGGCAAGGAATTAAGGAGACTGGATACACAATACTTCTGGAGTTCTGGAACATTTCGCTCTAAACAAACAAGTGAAATTTTTGAGGACCATCAAAAATTCCTGACAGATCGTACCCCTCAGAGTAACAGGATAACACTTGACAGCATGGTATGAAAGTTATTAAGTGCTGTGGTTTAAGAAAATTATCCCAAACCAAGAAAGATTGTTGAGTCAGCACCAGTTAAAGATTAACTGACTTAAATTTGAAATGACTATTTTACAGTGTTTTCATGTTAATGCAATAATTTTTTGCGAAGCAGGTGTTATTTTAGAAAGAAATACTATTCAAAGAATTCAATGTGTCCATCACAGCGTACATGTTATAAATCAATTCCTTTCAAAAATCCCATTATTTACAATGGGGCGCGCGAGGATTAACGTGTCTAAATGTGGCGGAAAAAAAAAACAAGATTCCTGAATTGAAAAAAGGGCGCCACCTAAAATACCCATATATCAGCTTAAAAATCTAAATGGCTCACTATCTTCTGAGGTAAACAAGGAAGGATCACCGCCATTTTCTTGAAACAACAATTTGGAGTATGCAATACACTTGAATCTGAATTGCCTCCGGTAAGTTTACTTTTACATCGAGTTACAACTTACTTTACACACATGGTTGGAAACGTGCGAAAAAAAAAGGACGAAACAAAAATCTGCAGAGCCACTTGTGAATTATTCGCAACCTAAGAAGACGATCCCTCCCAATAACAAGGATAAACTTCTAGCAAACAAAATTACTGAAGAAAAGCGGATTTGGTTACGTACCCTCAAGAATCTCTGTCGAGTTCTCGCGTTTTCTGTATTTCCCCTGTAGCTTTTCTTTCAATCCCTTTCCTTTCTTCTTTAAGAAATACTTTCCGAGAAAAGGCATCCTCATTCTCGTCAGCTATCAACGAAAAGTCCGTTCCTTTGAACTATATAAACGTGTAAATTCCATTCCTTCCTAATAAACTCGTTATGTCCGAAATATTGTAAACATGAAATGAATCTACTATGGCACTCGTGCGGTTGGAACTGGTAACGAACCAATCCGGTCATTAATCGATTCAGAAATTTAGTAGTCGTTGCACAATCGCCACTAACTCGTTTCTCGAGAGTTCACGAAGTTGTATTGAATTGTCACGACGTAATGTTGCTATGGTCACACAAACCTTGATGGCGGTCGAATGAGTTGGAACCCAAAGACCTGAAGGTTTTACCGCGTTTATTTCTTTCTCAAATCACTAAAAACCATGGACAGCGCGAGTGAATCTAGCGGCAATGATTTAGACAGCGATTTTCAAAATGCAAAAGCATTTTTGCTGAAAACTAGTTTACATTCGAATCTAAATGTGTAAGTATGATTTTGGACCCCTTTTTCTTGAGACAAAGGTGATCTTTTCCTATGCACGTCGAGAACTTACTTACAAGCTTTCTGGGTCACAAACTCATATATTTTTCGGTCTTATTTTAGCTATGATCATCTTGCAAGTGTTATTAGAAAGGTCTTGGAAGAGAAACCGGAAAATGTAGCAGGCAAGTTGCTGTTTAGTACAAAATAAGCTTGTGTTAGATCGCGGGTATTTTGACAAAGTTGTGTCAGTCTTTTATGGCGGTCTAAAGTACTTGAGTGATTGTAGTAATTTAAAGTAAATTTTCGTTTATGCAGATTTGGTAGACGACCTTGTAAGGGATGAAAAGAGAGCCAAATTCCGCCCCAGTTTCGACACTATCCAGGTAATTTTAATGCATTTTGTCTTACCAATACTACTGTATTATTGGTAGCTGCTTCTGTTAGATATTAAGCTTATTTATAAAATTTTGCATTGGTTGACCTGCATGATGACATGATGACCTGCACAGCTATACGTGTAACTCAATTTTTATTTACGGGACCCTTAGAGAAAAAGCCAACTTAATTTATCCTTCCAATTAAAACCCCTCAGTCAGGCAAGGTTTTTAAGAAGAGAAAAAATATGGATGAGATGTGGGGTTGGAGCTATTATTATGGCTAGCTCTGTTAGTGGGCAAGATGAACCAAATCCTGCAGTGTGATTGGCTACCCAAGTGGGCAAGGTGGGGCTATCTTGCCCACTCAGGACTACATGTACCTGCTGTGTCCTGCACGAAAATAGTGTTCTTTTTCCATATAATAAATCCTTTATTGACCATGCTTGTTTGGACAAGATGGCTAGGTATTGGTCTTGTCCTTTGTTATGTGTTTATGGACGTTGACTCCGTCTTGGTCCATAAACATGCAAAAAAAAAAAGAACTTGGCGCAGCCATCTTGACCTCTTGCTTGGTCAATAATCCATATTTTTTATATGTTTATTATATTTATTATATGATGAATCAAAACCTGCACTGTGATTGGCTACCTGAGTGGGCAAGATGAAGCTCAATCCTGCGTGCCTGGGACTACCCGCCATGTCCTGCAAGAAAAATTTCCATGAAAGCTATATAATAAATCCTTTATTGACTGAGCTTGTTCGGTCAAGATGGCTTGATATTTGCCTCATTCTTATTTTGCTGCCTCATGGACCTCAACTCCGTCTCAGTCCACAAACATGCAAAAAAAGAACTTGACCAATATCCAGCCATCTTGACCACACACTTGGTCAATAACCTACATGTATATCCATATATCTCTGATCCATACTGCCTTTTTTTCATTGATGAATGATGCTTATTTGGTACACCCCAAGAGAAAAGGCTGACTCTAATCAGTCAAGATTCTGTATTTCATGCCCCGTGTTGGCACATTCTTTTTAAAACGGTGGGAAAAAAATGTAAAAATGATTTAGCACTACATGAAGCTGTGCATTATACATGTAATCACATGATATTTTGATGTCTTTGATTTTAGAATGAAGAAGATGAATCTACAGAAGTATTACTGGCAAGATCCCAGTTGACTCTGTTTGAGGTGATTTATACTAATTAATTTATACTTCTTTATGGGAACTCACTTTGATAATCTTCATGCTGTTTTATAGCTAGTCAGCTGTTTCATAAGAATTTATAAAAACATGGGAGATTTTATAAAACTTAGTGGGATAAAAATAAATTTTGCTAACACACCTACTTTATAAAGTTTACAAAGTTTCAAAAGGTGTGATAATTTGGAAAGAAATAAAATTAAATAAACATTTATATGAAAAGTTTTCAGTTCACAAGAAATTATATAAAATGTTGTCAATCCTTAGTGTGCAAAAATCGAGACTGCAAAGTAACTTTGTGAAAATATCAAGACTGGAAGACCCATGGTTTTTGAAGGACCATTTGCCACCCCTACAAGTGCGTATTAAATATTACAATATTTAGGTTCTTTTTCTGTTAATTAACCTTGAAATTCTCAGTGTATAGCCTGACTGTCAAAAATTGCAACCCCTGGATAAGCAATACTTTGTGTACACAATTACATGTATTAGTATAGTGACAATGTAGTATATTGTTGTTTCTCCAGAGAAAACCTACCGACCAAGAATTGGAACCTATGATCCGAGATCCAGAAATAGAAGAAGACCAGGAAGAAGCACCCCTACCAGATCTAATGGAACTCGCAAACTATTTTGAACAAGCTGGTGTTGGCATTGGCAGAGAAGAAACATTTAGAATATTTTTAGCTTTGAAGCTTTTGATTGACACACAGCCAATAAGGACGTGTAGATTTTGGGGTAGGAATAGTGAAGCCTAATTTAAAATTTCTGCAATAAAATTAGATTATTCACATTTTTTAACTTTAGTCAGGAGTGTACGTAGCTTTAGACCTGGCTACATGTGTATGTGCCGCAGGCTGTGAAAGGTATGGTTTTCCAACAATCTAGTCTGGGATAGGTATAGAATGATATATAACAGACAGTTTTGGTCTAGAATAGGGACCGGTATAATTTACTGTAAAAGTTGCCAGTGTATAAATAATTTAGTTTAGAACAGGGTCTTTACCCGGGATTCTATAATGTAAATTGAAACTCCAAAGTGAGATGATAAGATATGTTGGAGTGGGTTTAGATAGTGTATGTTGGACTAATTTAGCGATAAAGTTTCTGCATTGAAAATAGCTGGTCTAGGATAGGGGTTTTTGGTGCCTAGTCTACAATAGGGTTACAAAATCAAGCTGATCATGGTCTAGTATAGGGTAAGGTTTTCGGTATCTCAATGGCACACCCCTGCCCAATGATTTACAGAGTACCCCCGTCCCTTCCAGGGCCTGTACCTAAGAGTCTGTGCTCCTACTGATGTGCTAACAATTAACCCTACTGCACCTCTGATCGCCTAGTAGATATAGTTTGTCAGGCCTCAGGTAAGAAAAGGACTCATTCTAAGAAAGGGAAGCTTTTCTTAGCACTGCTTTAATTTACAATTTTGTTGCATCAAGGAAGCAAAATTCATTTTCATTAATTAATTGGGTCAAATTTTCTTTTCAGGTAAAATGTTTGGAATCCATGCAAATTACATCATTGCTGAAGTGGAGTTTTTTGAAGGAGAAGATCCAGAAGAACCTCAAGATGATGAAAAACAACAAGAGGAAGAGGTATTATTTTATTGATTTACATTCTAAAGCTGATCAATCAGTAAATAGAAACAAGTTAGAAAATTTCGAATATTTCAGCTACAGGCAGCCCGAATACAGCCCCCCCCTCCCACCAGACACACACACCCCGCCCCTCCAGCCTCTTGAAAGACACTGAGCAGACTGCATGAAGCACATCAATTGCATTTTTGTTACTTTTTGTTTTTTTTTCTTTAATTTAGATTATTGAAGCAAAAACAGACATCATCAAAGAAGGTTAGAAATTACTTATAACAAATATGTAATTGAAAGTTATGAAGACTGTTTTTAATTATCAGAACTTAACGTTTTTATTAACAATAATATCATGTTTTTTCTAGTTCAGAGCCTTGCTTTGATCTATAATGGACGCATAATGTATAACAAACAAAAATTTTAACGAGCTCTATTCTTTGCAGGAGATTTTGATGTAGAAGAAGATGATATCCCCCAAGCAGAGTTCAAAGCATCTCCAGTTATTCCTAAAGAAGATAGCAGAACGGGTTGTAACAAGAAAACATACTTTGTGTGCAATGAATGTGAGTTAATTCTCTTCTATTCCCAGTGATGTAGTGACTTTCATTGAACTGAGTTCCTGTTAGACATTTGAAACCCCCGGGATGGGGGTGGGGGGGGGGGAGGGGGAGGGGGGGGGGGGGGGGGGCGGATTGTGTGGCTAGTCACCCCCAATTTTGCAGAGGTCAAACGTACAAAATTTGAAAAAGTTTGTGAAAATTATGACAGAAATAAAGGCAAACTCTCTGGACCGGTACCTCATCGTAATTTTTCCTTTGTGGCATTGCCAGTCTTTCTAGTCGAATGGTTTTCATTTAGGTTCCAATTCTCAAATTGCAACATTTTGGGAACATACCCCATTGATTCTGCACCCCAAGGTACCAGCCACCCCCCTTGAAAAATTCTGGATCGACCCCTCCTCAAAGTTCACTGTCAGTTTAAGTGCCCACTATTAAAGGACTGTAACATCTTGATGACACTTCTTTGCAAATTTTCACCGGCAAATGAAGCTAGAAATGGTTCTGCCTCTGACTCGTTACTACCTTCCACAAAATTAGATTACCATTGGAAACGATATTTAAACTGATTACAGCCAAATATAGGCCTTATTCTCGAGGTAAACCCTCTCAAGATCGACGGAAAGAAAAATGTGGATCGCCGAGCATCCAAGAGAGTAAATTGCAGGCGACGTTAGCGCAACCCGTGTGAAGCCCTATCCTTGCTTACATTTCTTCCTTAGCGCGTGCGCTTGCGGTGTACGCGATGTGACGTTGCGACACGAGTTTTGTGCATAGATTGTGGTGATTGATTACCTGTTTTGTCTGTAGTCTGTATACCTCCATGATGAACGTCTTTTGACTCAGTGCTTGAAGTACCTAAAGCAAGGAAAATATGAATCAAATAACAATCAGTGTGTAACATTGATTCTATCAGAAATGAACCCCCCAAGTGAAAGACAATAGGTCATCTCCGAATTACCATTAGCCTCTTTCTCAAAGCGAGTCTTGGCGTCAACCCTATCATATGAAAATGAGATACCATTCAGGTGCAAATTAAACTCATTTTCAAATGAATAGTTGTGCATGAGGCCTCGCTTTGATAGAGAGGCTTAAGGCAACTGAGAAATGGACTATTTAAGGAGACTCAAATAAACTATCATGGACTCTGCGCATGCTGAATTTGGTATTCGCAGCAGCACCACAAATCTTGATCTTTCAGGTCAACTGACAAGATGTGACGGTTTTATCAATACTAGACATAGACAGTTTATTTTACTTGGACAGGACCCTTTCTGCAATGTAACGGTGCGTCCCATAGACTTAATAAGCACAGTCTACAGGACGTACCAGCTAGTTTACAGGTGCGCCAAGAAAACAAAATAACAAAGTAAAAATGTATGCACAATTGGTTATAAATATTAAACTGAACTACCTAAGAATATATTACTACTACAAAATATCTAAAAATGTATAAGATTATAAAAGCTGTAAAAAAGGTACATATTGAAATATATGTGTATAACTTAAAAAGCCAAAAGTACTTCAATATCACCAGCCTCCGTCGTGCAGCGAAAGCTCAAAATATAATGCGCTTGTTTAATTTTGACGTCATTTGCATCTGATTCAGATAAACTCCCACAAAAATCGGGTGGGGGCGTACGGCCCGCTTCCCAAAAAACCTTCCCCTATTTAAGACCAAAATCTATGATTTCCCCTGCCCTATTTATAACCTGATCAAATATTCGTTACCCATTTTAAGACCTGACACCTGAATCAATACCCTGCAGTTCATATCTTTCTTATAATTAGTTCCCTAGTTCAGACCGATGTTAAAGGCATTGTGAAAGGTTTTTGTTCATGGTCTTGTCGATAATGATGAAACATGAAGAAGTTTCTCCAAAAAAAATGAATTCAAAACAAGAGTGCAAAAACCATACGCTATTTGAGACAAAAATCGATACCCTATTTATGACCAAAACGGCTAAAAAGCCATACCCTTTGGGGCCGGACATACCTATATAGCTGCTATGAGGGAGTAGTCCGGCCCCCCGTTGGTTTTACACCGAGCATACGGTAAAGTTTTGTTGTTGGGCAAGATTTCATAGAGTACCATTACGAGAACATCTACAGCAATGCGAGAGGCACGTGAGAAAATTACAGCAATGTGAGCTAGAACTTTCTTACCTGAGGGAGTCTTGGTTGTACCTAAACAATAGTGAATTTAATAAGTCATTTAGTTTCTGCACGGCTTATGGTTGGAATGCAAGGAGCTGCATTGTGTATCAATATGCCAGAGAGCACTTAACAGACATAAGAAAGGAGAGACCTTGTGAAGAACACACTTTTCGCACATCCGGGAATCTCTAAATATGGGTTTGACAAATAAGGGCATGTCACGCAACATGTCACACATCGGTTAGTTGTATTAAAACGTGAACCAATATCTACCTCTCTAAATGAAGACTACAAACGCACCGTGAACACAAACCTAGCTAGCACTTTATTGGTTCAAAATATTTGTGGAATATCACAGCATGTAGGGGAGATACTCCCTGAATTTGTACTTGGGAAAGTACCGCTGGATAGGAAACAGTTTTCTTGACTGACTAGGAGTTTAATTCCATAACTTGTACTCTGTAAAGAGGGTATCAGGCTTTTGGAGTTTGTTCAAGAAACGTTACTCGGTGTCCGTAAGACATAATTGAGGTAACTATATGTTAAATTTCATACTCTTCCTAAAACATCCCAACAAAAGCTTCATTCGTGTTATCGACGAACTTTAATAGACTGCCGAAGACGAAAAAGGCTACAGCTTTGCAAGGTTCGTACAGCTAACGTAATCATACCTGTCTTGCCTGAGGCAGTCATCGTTGGACCTAAAGAAGTTAATAAAGATAAATTTTTCAGTTTCTGTACGGTTCATCTTGGAATGAAATGCTTAAGCAAACAGAGAAAGTAACAGAATTCCAAAACCGATAGGACATACTGATCTAACAACACGCGGATCAATACCAGTAGAGTAGATTACAAGGTTACATTTTCCGTTTGCCGAAGTTTCTATTGAAGCTTTTGCTTTATTACCCGCTTACTCGCTCAAAGGACACTATTCGATCCATTACATCAAGTAGTAACTATGGTTTGCTCAGATCAGTAAATACTGCTTTTTCCGATTGGAATGCCCTGCCTATGGACATAAACAAGCTTCGTTTTCAGATTCTTTCAGAATGTCGTTAATTGATAGGTTTAAACTTCAAAAGTGATTTTCCATTTTACTTCCTCTTTTTATTAGGACTTGGATTTGATTGTGATTAGTTTTTAATTTTGTACCCTATTTTACCTTAGTTATTGGGGACTTCCCTGATAACCAGGCAGTGTGACAGGAGCTTCCTCTATGAAGATTACTATTTACTTGTAATACGTACAGAAGTAGATAAAAGGGAGCTTAAGCAACGACGACGACGACGCCGAGGACGACGACTAGTAAAAAATGAATTTAAATTTTACAAACGAAATTCGCGATTGTCTAGATCTGTTCAGTACGTCAATGGCTCTCTGAAAACGTGCTTAAGTTAAATATGCAACGACGGCGTTCAATTCCAACTGGAAATACGAAAAATTAGCCGTCGTCGTCCACGTTCCGTAGACGACGTAGAACTTGGTCATTTCACGTTGTTGTTTTGCAGAGGACGGCAAAGAAATGTACAACGATTTATAACGTACGTGCACAGCTATTGTTCAGCTCATTAAACCTTTTGTTTTGTGATGTTCACGTTGCCGTCGTCGTCGTGGTTTGCTTAAGCTCCCTAAAAACAAAACACGCACACACAAAACAAAGAATGTTCGCTTTGCACACTTAAAACAGAGAATGGTTTTCTCAACAAAGTTTACAAACGTTAAAACAAAAACAAACAAACAAACTAGACAATCAACCAGCTTTACCTGTCTGGCTAGTAGGTTTTTCATATAACTTCCAATTCTCTGTTCTAGGCCAGTGAGTCTGCTTGCATACTACCGAATCTTTAGGAGTATCTCCTCTCTTTGGGAATTCCATGCACATGTCCTTGCCATAAAAAAACGGCGAGGTACACGTGTTAAAAAACTTGTAACAATTGTCTCTACAGAGAAACGCAGCGGTACTGTCTACACAGGCAGGCAAATTCTCTGCGCAAATGATTTCTTGTCGCGGTTTGCTGCAGTTGTCCTTGCTGGGGTCGAAGTCGATTTTTCTCTCAATCCAGGCTTGGTACTTTTTCTGTACTTCCTTGGAAACTACCGTTTTAGTATAGCCTACGATACCTTTGCAGGCTGGGATAACGATGTCCGAACAATTATGTGCGTAGCCTGAAAGGTAATATACCGAAACACAGTTATATCAAAGATTGCACTGAGACAATAGTTGAAACCAGGGCCGGGCTCGGAAGCCGACTAACGCTAATCCGGGATTAAAAGTTAACCGAAGTATAATTTGTTCTTGTATAAATATATTTTGCCTTGCACACTGTCAGCGCACTATTGTTAAGGTGTACAATATATGTGTACACAGTAATAATGTAACGCCTTCGAGTGCATGCCAAATGATCAAAGATATCTCACGAGTCCCTTGTATTTTCTCGAAAATACAGAACGGCCGCAGCCAGGATGAACCATGATAAAATCTAAAAACATTCTAAAGATTTGAAGGAAAACGACCAATTTTTTAAGTTTANGGGGGGGGGGGAACTCCTATGTGACAGGAACAGTGATGTGATGGAAAACTTGAAATGATTACTCTAAGTGAGCAATGTGGGTGTGACTCAAGGTTTATTTGACCTTTAAAAAAATGAAGCAGTCCATAGACAAGTAATATTAAGCTAAGTAACTTTTATTAATGACATTGCCACATACTGAATGTATTCATCTGGGAGCAAAGAAATTTAAATGATTTCATTCCATATCCATAAATTATACCAAGAACACAGTATGATGGCAAATTTTTTTGACATAATTTTTGGAAAATAATACTTTGACTTTAACTTTATTGAATTTGTTGCATACTTACATATAGGAAACCAAAATGATAAAATAATACAAATAATGTTAGTAACAAATAAGTCATAGGCATCAGCAACTGGAGCAAAAAACGGGATGATATCCCAATTGATATTCAGCCCCAATAAAAGATATTTAAAAAAGTAACACAACAGTAACAATAATTATAATAAAAGTAGTAGTAAAATAGTAGTAATTATTGTGTAATAAGTTGGTTTAATATATATAAGTTTACATACCTACATCTCCACTGCTTGGAAGATTTAGATTTATCCTCACTACTTGGAAGAATAATTTGTTATTTTCCAAATGTTACCAAAAAAAGACACTTTGGCACCTATTCTGGGATAATTTCTGTCCTGAAAACCCTAAACAGGACCAAAATCCATTTGACACCCCTAAGTAAGACAATGAGTATCTATACCCCTTTCACATAAGCCCTGCCTTATCCTAGGGGTGGGGTGGCTGGTGATCCAATCTCAGAAAGCTACACATACTTTTACGTACAGTGCTGTAAATTCTGTTTTGGTGAGACTAACTCTCTTTAAGTTTACAGGCTGATAAAGCATAATGGAACCCTGACTAGCTATGATGATGGCAGTACATTTGTAGATCTAAGTGTTTCATTATTTGTTCTTACCACAGCTGGAGGGGCTTGGGTCAGACTTCCCCCTGTCACTCCTGCACAGATTGTGGTCTCAAGACAAATCCGAAAATTTTTCACTGGAAATCTTCAAGCGCCTGTAAGTTCTGATAACTCTAAAACCTATTTAGTCCTTATAATGATGCACTCATCACATACAAGAGTTCCTTCAATCTGTTACCTGTTATAACCTTGGACATCTGATAATTATAAGTGGTCCTTTAGGTAGTGTTACTTTCCTTCAGTTGGTTTCAGTCCCAAATTGATGTGACAGATTTAAGTTTTTTGATCATGTGACTGATGAAACTGCTTGTTTTTGGAATGATGAGTCAATATTTATAAAAATTCAATAAATAAATTAATCAATAAATAAATCTCAACACTTACCAGGTTGTAAGTTATCCACCCTTCCCTGGAAATGAATCCAATTACTTAAGAGCTCAGATTGCTAGAATATCAGCCACAACACACATCAGTCCTCTGGGCTATTACATGTTTGAAGAGGAAGAAGAGGATGATGACGAAGGAGGAGGTATATAATAATCTTTGTTATTATATAAGATATGAGTGTTATTGTTCGTATATATCATAATTGTTACTGTATAAAAATATGCCACTCTAAAAATTCATTTGAAACTAGTGAGGAATCGATGATGTCACTTCTTGCTTTTTGATGGTTATTTGTGCTAACAGTGAGTTAAACTGCTGGCAGTCTGTTTTTCTCTTGAAATTTCAGCAGGGGTTATGATGCGAGATGCTTTAGCCTAAAGGGGAATGCCCCCGGATGAGACATTTCTTCCCTACTCAGCCATACTGCCCTTGTCTCGCCTTCTTCCTTACTCAGCCACCATCATACCGCCCTTTTGCGATGACTAAACACTCATCCAAGTGACCCTTATATAAAACACCAGCTACCAGCAGACTAACAGTCACTCTGTCTATATATAATAAAAACAAAATTGCATGGATGCTTAAAGATGTGTTTTATTTTCTTGTGTTAAAATATTTTAATTAATTTAAGCACTTGCTGCACCCATATGTCATTAAATTGCTTTTCCCACTTGAAAATAAAATAAACTGATTTCATATCTTTGCACCACCGTGTAACATGCTCCATATATTTGTTTCAAAGTTGATTTGTTCTTTGTGTTATTCATGCATTCCTCTGTTTGCTGATTTGGTGATCTATTCATATATTTGCAATTTAATATTGTGATAAAAATGGTAACTTTCAAATACTGGCTTGTTCATTATTTTTCTAGCTCGTGACTCCTTTGTGGTGAATCAGGAGTTTGAAGGACTCACTATCAATGAAATGGCCGATCCATCATGTGCGAACTGGGTTCATCATGTCCAGTACGTTCTTCCACAGGTAAACTTTTGCTGATCACCTTTCATTTATTCCTCAACATCCAGATGGAAATGAGTGTTCAGATGAACTTTTCGTATAGTCCCATGCTAGTAATTTTATTTTGGGGAGAAAGTGCTAACTGAATTTAAATTCAAATCAGATGTTTTAGCATAAAAGAATATTTGTGTTAAATGTAGGATAAAAGTAAATTAAGAAAACCCCATTTCCCATTTTTTTGGTTAGTAAATTACCTTCAATTTTAAAAATACAGATGTATTTCCAGTTGTTGTTTCTGACCCGAAATAAATTCCATCAGCCCAAGCCCAGCCAAGACACACCTCAATGTTATTTCGTGTTCTTGTAGGGTCGTTGCACATGGTTTAACCCCTCGCAAAAGAGAGAGGAGGAGGAACTGGAGGAAGAAGAGGAGGATGAGGAGAGGGAAGAGCCTGATGAGCCAGAACCTGAGCAAGGTCCACCCCTGCTGACGCCGCTCTCAGAAGATGCTGGTAAAAACAGTCTACTTTGCACCATTATGTTTCAGATCAAGGCTATACCAGAAGGAACTCTCCTGATATTTCTTTTATTTTTGTTGTTACAGAGGTTGATGGCATGCCTCCATGGACAGCACAGAAGTCCTCTACCTTAGTTCCTCAGTATTCTCTGGCTGTGATGCACTCCAACTTGTGGCCAGGAGCACATGCATTTGCTCTTGAAAGGTCTGTATGCATTCTACCTCCATCACACAATGATGTGTGCAAAAGTAGATTTGTTTTCATTACAGCTGTGTTTGATGAAAAAGTTGCTCTATTCTCTTCACAAAAAATTGTTTGAAGAATGGATGAAATGCAAAGCACTATGTTTACGTAAACCTCTGACACTATACCAAGGCCCAAGGCAGGCCATAATTGAGGAAGCAGCCATATTTTAGCCCTCTTCTGTGATCACTTACTCCTAACACAGCAAGCAACCAAGCTATCAGGAGCAAGTGCCCAAGGAGAGGACTTAAATTTAAGCTAGCACGGAAGGCTAAGCCTGCAGAGTGCAGAACAGGTGGTTTAGCTGGGCAGATCGCAAAGCGCGATACACAAATGCAGAGCATGATCACAATCATGAAGCCCAATTCAAAACAAATCCCAAACTACATTTCATCACCATAAACAGCATAACATTTTCCCTGTACAAGAAGCTACAAGAATTAATCATATTGTTGATAATTCTAGAAAATTTGAGAACATTTACATTGGTTGGGGACAGAAATTCAGTGCAGAGAACTACAGCCCACCTCCCCCTCCACCACCACAAGAGGAATTTGCCAGTGGACCAGAGATCACTGAGGCTGAAGACCCATCAGTGGAGGAGGAGAAGGCTCTCAAGGCTGCGCAACAGGAAGCAATGGAGGCCGCAGAAATGGAAGAGGAGGAGGAAGATGATGATGATGATGATTAGTCACCTAACTGGATAATTCTGATGAATTAAATTATTTACTTTTATGAAGTCTAGTATTTCAGTTTAGTTTTGATGTGGTGTAAATATCTTAATGCAGTTTGAGACTGTTATAATATTACTCTCCTTGAAAACTACCATGTGTTTCATACCTGCATCCAGTTCTTTTGCTAGATTGTTTTTGTACCCAAGGTACACTTTATGACGTCAAAATAATAGAAATGTATATAACTCCAAAAAATTAACCTTTGTGTAACTTTCTATCAAGAAGCTATCAGGTTATTCAGTTACTTTGCGTTAAATTTCTTGTATGCCATGCTAAATGCCTTTCCAACCAATATGTCTTATATTAAATAGAGAGTCAATACATGATGAGCTGTCACAGAACTGTTTGCTCAAGAACTTTATTTATAAATCAAGCAAGCAAACTGTTAGTGAAGAACAGTGACAAGTCTGGTAAAGTCTATTACAATGTATATTAGAATGTAGCATACACAACAAAAACTGATGTAGAGGACTTGAAAAACAATTCCTGGATTAAAATTGGTTTTTACATTGTCTAGTCCAGAAGCAATTCTTATTAAAACTATCTGGTTAAAATAAAACACAGTTCTGTAAAAAACAAATGTAACACTGACAACAATCAACACACTCTTCCTTACTTTTGTGCTCAAGTAATTCACATCAGGTGGAGAAAATTACATTGATTTATGTACTGAGCAATCCAAATCATACAGTGTAAAAGCAGCTACAGTACAGCCTTTGGAAACTTCCTAGGAGAATCTACATTTCTTGTGGAAAGAGACAACATTAAAAGTACAAGCATGGCCGAATGCACATTACAGTTCCATAGGAAAACAGCATTTCATTTTTGGTTGGTGTGACGTTGACAACCTGCTCTAAAATGTCACATCATAACTATGGAGATATAGTTTATTGCCAGCATAAGATGTCGTTGGGATCTTTGGTCTGGGAACTTAAATCAGATCAGCAACTAAAGAGGAGAGGACGATACCACAAAAGATTAGTTTCATGCTGAACAAAACAATATAAAGCAGGAGAATGTTAAAGTGCTAGTCTCTCAGCAACCAATGCCATTTGCCAGCAAATCAATATTTTCAATTTCAGTTTGTTCATTCAGACTAACATGTCACAAATGCCTCAAAATAACGCTAGAGTTCAGGGTCCGAAATTAACTTTTTAAGGTAGGCGCCAACTGGCGACTGACATTTTTTTTCAGTCGCCATATGGAAAAATGTGGTCGCCAAAAAGTGTCAATAAAATTTTTCCTTCACAGCGAAACAGAAACCAAAATTTTGGGGCGCCATGGGCTTGCCTGCAAAATATTTGCAATTGATGTAATCAGGAATCAAACCAGTGCGCAAATCATCTTTTGACTACTTTGGCAGATCTACATTTCCGCTTTTTGACGCCCAGAGAATATCTAAATCTTCAACTAATTTCTTCATGAATGTTCCGTCCCCACCTTGTAATAAATTACGGAAAGATTTAAGAACATCTTTGGACACCAAATCGCCTGAATAAATATTTGTGGTGAAAGAATGCATGTGGCCTCTTGCGCCTGCAATACGTATGTTACAGGAAACCGCTGAAAAAACATGGAGGCAAAGCTTCGCACTGATCGTAGCTGTCAAACGTTGTGGTAGATTTATAATGAGGAAAATCGGTTTCATACTTCAAAAGCAGCGGGAAGGTAAGAAGTAAGTGCCCAATTAGCGGGCGGCTTTGAATTTTATTTTAATCGATTTGGCTGAAAATCAAAGTTATTGTATAATTGTCGTGGCATGAAATAGTTAATCGCCCGCTGAGCAAAATTTTTAGTCGCATTGGCGACCAGGAAAGCGCAATTTTGGACCCTGGAGTTATGAAGTATACTGAAAAACCGTAATACTGGTTGTAACCACCCCCCCCCCCCCCCCCCCCCCCCCCCCCCCCCCCCCCCCCCCCCCCCCCCCCCCCCCCCCCCCCCCCCC